TTTTTTTTCAGAATAAATGAATACTCAGAATTTCATCTTGATTTGCGAAGAAATCATGAGATTATATTGATAATAATAAGTGAGAAACTAGAGTAAGGACAAGTTTGCGAGTAAAATAGAATTCGAAAACTGTAAAAAAGTTCGATACTAAACAGTAAAATAAGCTGAACTTAACTGATTTTTTCAATTACACCCAAATGCGCATAGTGAAACTCAAATGGTTTCCTAGTTCAAACTGAAAACTCCAATCAATTTCTTTCGCAGAGGTGTCGTTTTCAGTTGAAAGCATTTTTTTTTTCAATTTGTGTGATAGCTATTCGCTTATGTGAAGTCGTAAAGGAGTTTTTGTCTTGTATCTCTTGCCAAAACACAGCCAACTTGTGACGAATATTCGATGAGAACAAGAAAGCATAAGGGAATAGAGTGCATACTAGAGGTAAGCTCCTCGGAATATACTCCAACTGGTTGTAGGACGAAATGAAATGATCAAAAACCGTTTCAATTCATGGAGACGAGACGGGAAATTTCGTCTACGCGCTCGATTAGATACGAGACGAGAAATTGTATGATTCGAGCAGCAACGATAACATTCTCGGAATGATACCTGCATTCGTTAAAGAAATTTTCTCAACATTTTCAGAGCTACGATAAATCGAAAAAAGCTTCGAGAAAACTTGTGACACTATCTCAAAATATCCACAAATCACTCAAAATGCGGCCAACCAAGAAAAGTCGCGGCAATCTCTCGCGGAATAAGCGATAAGATTCTTCTCAAGTGCACGAAACGATACGAAACGAGAAACGTTCGAGAGTCATTCGTTTTCTCGTGTCATTTCTCGTTATTCGTTTCGACACGCAGACCATCAACATAAAAGAGACACACTAATGTGAAATAATGAATAAATAAATAAATTTCTGAAAAATAAATCGTATAAACCTTAATGTTACGATGCAAAAAGATAACGATATGGAGAAGGAAAAGTTTTTGGAAATAATGAAAACAAGCCTTTGTGCTGTCGCTATCGACACTGGCGATTGTGTTCTGCAGTTCGGTGATCTGATCTTGCAGATAGCCCATCTTATCTTGGCATCCATCGATCTGTTCACCGATTAAATCACGTTCTGATAGATCTTTCGTAGCGATGAAACGTTGCTCCTGAAAATTTTACCGTTCATTTTTTACACCGCAAACGCACTGACCATTTTCTGAACATAATCCATTTCGACGAATTTATTCTCAAGACATACTCCTCACCTTCAAAACGGTTTACAATATGATTATGAATGACATTCGATAATCCTCGAACAAACCAACTAAAGTAGCGAACAACTCCAAAAGTAAGGCATCTGCACATCCATCGAATCGCACGATAATGTTCTCATATAGTCGCCAAAACATCACTAAACCTATTTATGAATTTATGAAAAAAACCATACAAGATGTTGGATTTCGTCGATGAGTGCATGACGCTCATTCATTCGCCTCTCCAACTCTTCTTCCATTTTCGTAACTGATTGTCGTTGTGTTATCCTTCGACATATCTGTCAAACATATTCATGCATTACATTCAATTATTTCACTTCTGTATATTGCTTTCATTCATAACTTCTAATTTATATCGTCAATGAAGTATTGTGTACAGACTTCAATACAAGTCATTTTTCAAGC